AACTTTAAGGAGACTGGCCAGAAAGAGAGAGAGAAATAATACTCACAGTGCTGTTGGGAAGTTGTTAGCTAACTTTAAGGAAACTGGCCAGAAAGAGAGAGAGAAATAACACTCACAGTGCTGTTGGGAAGTTTTTAGATAACTTTAAGGAGACTGGCCAGAAAGAGAGAGAGAAATAACACTCACAGTGCTGTTGGGAAGTTGTTAGATAACTTTAAGGAGACTGGCCAGAAAGAGAGAGAGTAATAACACTCACAGTGCTGTTGGGAAGTTGTTAGCTAACTTTAAGGAGACTGGCAGTGTGGATCATTGACAATGACACGAATATGCTTCAACGTTCTAAAATAAGGAAAATAGCGTCTCCAAACGTATTTCGAATTACAAAACAGCACGTGGAATACATTCCGTAAAGTTCGTTGAAATACCTATAGTTCCAGACTTTTCAGACACCCTATAGTATCATAGATAGGCTTTAACATTCATAGGTTAACTTCTGAAGTAAGAACTTGCCACTACTTGACTTGCTCTCAACATGAATTTGATGTAATTGGATTTGATCAATAAGGACTTAGGTAAATTTTATGCACATCTTAAGATCACATGGATCAAAACATTACAGACAATTTATTAAGACCTGAAATTAAATGAGCGCTCCTTAACAGTTATATCGTATATCGTGTGTAAGAAACAGAAGCACTACTAGTGACTTTTAGAACCACAAATTTCATATTTATTCGCATAAATAACTCTTTATAATTCTAACGAATTCAAATTCAAATTTAATCACAGAAATAAACAATATACGGGTTAGAATGTATGAAAACTAACGACTTATACACTTTATAAGACGGTAACGTATAAGTTAGAGGTTCGGATTTTGTTTTTATAGGAGTAAATAAGAGCCAGCGGTGGAAATCTTTTTATTTTTTTAATATGAAATGTTATTCTATTTAGGTAAGACTGACGACAAAACTATTTCATATAGGCAAGAGTTACATGTTAGTGTATGAATATCCTAACAACTGTGAACAGACAGCAAACATGTAAACTAGAAATGGAAAACAAAAAGTTATCAAAATCTAACAATATACAGGTTTAATCAATAAACTTAGTTCAAGGGAGGTCCAGTTCAATCTACACTTTGACCAACTTGTGTTATTGTGTTATACTAGTTTTTGAGAATTCCACTCCTCATCAGTAACTCTGAACACAAGTTAATCAAAGTGAGATAAGCTGGAGTTATATCATAGTGAAAAGTATCAAACACACTGTTGGTGTGAATGTGCTTTGTAGTCACTATGAGAAAAACCTATACACTGAATAGGTGAAGTGAAGAAAAAATATCTTTGGCCACTATTCAGTTCTTCACGTTGTATAGCTACACAATTGACCTCCTTTGAATTTAAACTTCAAAATTACACAATTTTCGGACTACTAAGTATATTTATTATATCTGCTATTATGCGGCTATATGATGTAAAAATCTGAATAGTGGCCAAAGACAGTTTTTTCTTCACTTCACCTATTCAGTGCATAGGTTTTTCTCATAGTGACCACAAAGCACGTTCACACCAACAGTATGTTTAATAAACAGGTTAGAACATATGAAAACGGCGTATTAGTTTTTCAAAAACAGATATAAAGAACCGATAATCATTCTAATAATTCAAACAAAAACCCATCAAAATACATAACACTGATAGGACATATCATAAACGTTTTTGACTGAATTAGAATTTATGTATAGACGGCGTTACTGACAAACACTTATTACTTCTTTGTTCAATACTAAGGTATCACCTGTCGTCATTATTCTTTGAAATACTGGGATGACAGATCATTAACAAATCAGCAACTAATTCTTATTTCACTACGTGATGTTTAGGAGATAATTTCATCGGTTTCTTTCTCAAATGGATAGTCACGTTTACCAACAACGTGGACAGAATAATTTAGAAATTTACAATCTGTTTTTCATGTGTATCAGTATATTTTCGGCTTAGAGTGACGGGATTTTTTGCAAGTACAATGTTATTTGTTCATAATGCATTTGCAATATTAGTTTCAAGAGCAAGCTTTGTTTGGTCAGAAACTAAATTATTTAAAACTGTAAATTCCAAGTTTAAATAAATCGAACGATGCAGCAAATTTATAGTTGAACTCTAAATCATCTATTTAGGGTGGAGAAGTGTGTCGAAAGACAATTTATTTCTCTTTCTGTATTTGTATATATCATCTGTGATATAACAAAGAAACCTTACTGAAATGTTCTCTGACTACACTACCTATAACGACTACTTTCAAAGCTTGCTTGTGAAAATTGTTTTCTGTTTATTCTACAAATTCCAAGTTGTGAAATAATTAAGATTGAATGTTTACTGAATGTAAACGCCTTAAGAAAATGACTTCAAAAACACAAAATTAGTTGAAACGCGAAGCTCAATTTTTAATGAAGCATAAAATTAAAAACTATATGGAAAAATTAGAGCTCTTTAAGACAGAAAAAGAATGACAACGGCAAATTGAACTTCTTTTAAAAAGGTTTTCGTCTTCAATCAGGAGTTAAAAGGTCATTCTTCCTAATGATCGTGGTTTGCCGATTCTAGTTCATTGTTACTTACTGTTTTTTTTGTGATTCTACATGGTTTAAATAACAAGGAAAAGCCTAACTTGATATTGTTTTCAAAATAAAAATTCAATTTCGAACACGTCGGCAGATGGCACTGTTATCCACAAAAGTTCTTGTACATAGTAGTAATTGTTATTTCTCTCAATGTCTGGTAAAGTACTTGTTATCTCATAAGTTAGTTGTACTTCATTACACCGAAATTTTATACAGAAAAAAATTTCTGTAATGAGAAAGAACTGATAAACTGATTTAACTGTAGGTTTGTTGTAGTTGTGATATTTTAGTTTGAGAAGCACAATTTCCGCTACAAGACTTATCTTTCTTTTTAATGACGCCCAAGTGTCCGGACACGGACAGGAAAAACTCGTAGCTTACATTTTGAATCCTTTGTGCAACAATATTTTCATACGCCTAAGAGAAACTTAACTATGCCAACAATGTAATACGCTTTTATTAAGAGAGGTACTTATACATATAGAAAAAAAAACAAAAAAGGTTGGCAGACCCGTCTCGGAAAGGAAGGCTTACGTGAACCCGGATCTCTCGTCAATAGGGTTTTTCGCTTTGCCGATTCATCTGGAGATCACAGGTATGTAAAATCCGGAGTACAGAAAACAAATTCCAAAATCTGTCAAAATCTACGTGCTCAATCTCAACAACAATACGGAAGTACGTTTATCCATTTGATGATTGTTGACAAAAGGATTCGTCATAAAAAAAGCTTAGTCCTATATTATTTTATTTCTAATCTGCACCAAAACGTTTCTATTTTGTCCTTACAATACTAAAAGAAAGGTATATGTTTATTCAGTTCTTAGTTATAAAGAGTAAGAGCACGAAAGCTCCTGCTACCTTTCTTAAGTAAAAAAAAAACACAATTTTTTATCTAATGATTTACTTTTTGAGAAACTGCGGTTTTGTTTGTCCTGTTGTTTGTACTTACTTTACAAGCTATATATATCATCATTCATCGACCCTTAACCTCATATACAGTACAGATCGTTTTGTTCACTATCTTCTCAATTACAATTATAGACAAAATCTAACGAACATTATGTACTTTCACGTGACAGAGAAGAAGCAAAGGCCAAAGAATAAATATGTAAACGAAAAAAGCAGAACAAAACTTGATGTTTAAACTAGCTATAAGTAAAATATATCGCGTTCCTCTTAATTCTGTGCGAATCTTTTTATTTTCCTTTTTCCTGTACTCACCTGCTAATCTTGGTGCAAAAAATCTTTGCTGTCTTGCCGCTAGTAACCATGGGTACGCAGGATACTGGGACTCCCGACCGACGAAGAACGGGGATACCGGAGGATATGCGGGTGAAACCGGGGAGTAAAGGTATGGTGAGAGCGGTTCTCCGTGACCTAGACAAACAGTAACAGGCCGAGCTGAAGGAAATGTCCCGGGAAATGTTGGAACAGAATGCGTAAGCACTGATTCAGGAATAGAGGTCCGAATATGAGTTGGTTGTGGTGGAACAGTGTTGGTGTCCGCTCGAGAATCATCAGTGTCCTTCCCTACCAACGACTCGATAGAGAACGGTAATTTAGGTTTAGTAGAGACGGGCATTATTGGGGTCGGAGCTTGAGGCATCATGCTGACATGGGAACCGACCCCTATGACTGCTGGTCAACTTGATATGCTTTCAGCGTTGTTATGCTCCAGTTGCACCTGAAGACGTCAATCTCTACTGAGGTCAGACTTTAGCGTGTTTCAGCGTAAGTTACTTTACAACCCTTAACAAAATCGGAAGGTCGCTAATTTTGTCTGTTTCGCCAGCATTTTGATCGACTAATTATCTCGCTTAAATGTTATTGGTAGTAATACTTACTCCTGATTGGTCAGGATGATTCTAAAACGTGTTCTCTGAAACGTCCCATTTGCTGTACAGAAAGAATAATTGAGAATAATAGAATGGCTCAAGTCTAGAGAGCAACGCTGCGTCTGATTGGTCATGGCAGCATAATCTTATTGACGCGTGGCGCCCTCTATCTAAACTAGAGTTTAGATTATGAGACTTTTAAATGATCAACAAGCCGAAAAGCTAGTGAGGTATTTTTTTCCTTTCCTAAATTAAAATGCCACGTCTGTTAAAATTGATATATACCACTCACTTCAAATAAATATGTATTGTAAACTCACATCAGACTTATAAACACAATTATCACACACATTGTTTGTTGTCTATCATTCTATAACAGTAGTATCAATTCGTTCTAGTAGATCCCTAAGTCCGATGCTATTTATTTATATCCAAACCAATCTATTAACAGCTTTTACTGCATCAAGTCGAGCTAATCATTTGTCTAAGGTTGTTTCTTGATTTTTGGACCTCTATTAATCACATGACCTTTCCAACCTGAATCATTTAAATAATTTCTCAGATTTGTCTTGCCAATGCCTCCTTCTTTGTTGAACAGATTTACCTGGTTATTATCATTTACTCTTTCAACTAAATTCAATTGCTACTTTCAGTTCCGTTTACCAAATTCATATTCTAGTCAACATAGTATACCCAATCAATTACATTTATCTTGCAATTATTGCCTGTACATTCAAAGATACGCATCTCACGTTTACTTATTTGAGCAGAGTAATCTACACACTCGAAAGTTCATCTGCTGAATTTCTATATATACTGAAAACAATATTTTTTGTTTCAGTTGGTATTAGTTATTCGTAACACTGTGAGATGATTTGTAATTTGTCCAGAGAAAAGGTGGCAAAGGCACAACTGAATATGTGACTCGTTATGATAAAGCTAAAAGAACCATGTATTTTATCAGTCACGTGATAGTAGTCACACTGACTACTATCAAATACAAAAGTAAGTCCAGAGAATGTTTTTGAAACGCAGAACTAAACATGTTATAGGATGTAAAAATTTTACAATGAAAAATGTTCAGAAATATCTGAATCTTTAAAACCTTCAATCTCGATAGTTTTGTATTTCTAAATACATTTAAAAGCGTATGACACTCTAAAACCCTGAAAATTGATAATACAACTTTAAACTTTATAAGAAACAACACATTACGTTCCTACTACACCTCGGTGATTGCTTTGAATCTATCGAAACTCGTATCGAGGCAGAATTAGACGCAAACTCAGTAGCAAGAATTTTCAGGATTTGTTTTTATTTTAATGTGAAAGAAATAGCACATGTCTTCAGGATTTGTTTTTATTTTAATGTGAAAGAAATAGCACATGTCTTCAGGATTTGTTTTTATTTTAATGTGAAAGAAATAGCACATGTCTTCAGGATTTGTTTTTATTTTAATGTAAAAGAAATAGCACATGTCTTCAGGATTTGTTTTTACTTTAATGTGAAAGAAATAGCACATGTCTTCAGGATTTGTTTTTATTTTAATGTGAAAGAAATAGCACATGTCTTCGTAAAAATTCGACTTTTGTTAATTACTGATTTTTTGTTCGCTTAATTTGATTTTAACCAATCTAAAGCAAAGTTTGCTCTGGGTGAACATTTTTCGGTTTTTAGTAAGTCTAACAGCTTTATAATTATTATCAAAGTCAAGTAATTACTTAATATGGTTAACATTATGACTAAATGATTATTATAATTATACAACGATCGTCTTCGGGCAGTTAAGTGTTCAATCCTGAGGGAAAACCACATATAAACTTATAATGTTTCATGTTCAATCAACAAAGAATCCCGACGTGTCTATGTAACTCAGCAACGGTAAGGACAAGACATTAGAATAGACGAGATTATTATTATCTAATCGATTTCCAGAGAGTGTTTAAATACACATACTATTGTACAAAAAACAAAATGTATATAATACGGTTTATTTGCTTTATCATTTATACACCTAATTGTAATGGTATATTTGTTGTTGGCCCAAAATATTTTAAACTTTTAGGGAGTTACTGGAGTGCTCAATAATATATCACATAATCTAGTGGTAAAGAAAAGACATTATAAATATTACCGACACATTCTTAATCAAACAATTTTATACCATACATTATCAAAATAATCAGATTACTGATTAGCAGTTTAAACATTCTCTTTTTATGATGCTAATTGGATGCTGGTTTGTGTTGTAGCATAATTTTGTGTTGGCTGAAGAAAACGTTATATCAGAATACCAAGACGTGCACATATTTATTAATATTTGAAAATTATGATATTATTATAGAACTGCATTAAAATTATAAGCTGTTATGATTTTGAATGCTGCTACGGGAGTTGGGTTAAAAGATGAAGTTAGCGTTGCGTGTTTAATATCTGATGTAAGTGTGTTATTTCGAATTGTTGTTAAAGTGTAATTGTATTATGTAGAAATTATGGTTAAAGTATAAGTGTGTTATTTCGAATTGTTGTTAAAGTGTAATTGTATTATGTAGAAATTATGGTTAAAGTATAAGTGTGTTATTTCGAATTGTTGTTAAAGTGTAATTGTATTATGTAGAAATTATGGTTAAAGTATAAGTGTGTTATTTCGAATTGTTGTTAATGTGTAATTGTATTATGTAGAAATTATGGTTAAAGTATAAGTGTGTTATTTCGAAATTATATTAAAGCGTAAATAAAATTGATACATGAAATTGATATTAATGTGTTTTATGTTAACTTTAATGTTAAATGTTCGTATTATAATTAACGTTTCGATGTTTCGAAAATGCTATATATAAGAACTTCAAGAAGCGATACGTTTAGGTTTAGGCCACGAACGAACAAAGATCAGAATTAGATCAAGACAAAACACTTGGTGCTCCGGCTGTACCGTGTTGTTCTCGCTGAAATAACCACTGTGTGTGGCCGGCCAGCTGGGGGGCTCTATCGGCAAAGTCTCGGATTTTATTTGGTCATGATAATTGATGACTTTACGGCCTATTAGAAAAACGTGCGTAATTACAAAACCAAATCGCAGCACCCGTAGCAGTAAAACTGTACCCGGAGTTGTGTAGAGGAATCTTACTAGTCAGAGAATTTCTTACTTCTCTGTAAAAGGTAATATGAGCATTTAGGCCTAACTTTCGACTTTGGCCAGCTTTCGTACCGCGTCACTGACACCCAACCAATTACCCTCCGCAGAGTCACACTGTGCAGAGAAACTAAAGGCAAACTTGTTAATGGGCTTGTAGGGGCGTTCAACCGAAAATATGTTCTGAAATGTTATATCGTGGTTTCTAGTTGAGCTTTGCTCTGTTTTCACACAAGTTGCCGATATTGTTACTTCACCGGATACTTATCATACGTTTTAAAGCACGGTCAAGCTTGTAGTTTGAGATCTTTATTATATACAAGCTTTAATTTTTTAAGACCAAATAAACAATAGTTACTGAGATGAAAGCTATTTTCTTAGAAGAAATCTTAAAACTAGTAAATTTTATTTCACCATCACCCAATGAGCTGTAGTTTTTGCAATAATTTATTAGTATTTTCTTAGGTATCATTTAAACAATATTTATTGAGGTGCTTATATGTTGAGTCATTAAAATCAACACCTTGTCTACTTAATTCCCAGCTCCGATTCTTGGAGCCTTTTATAAATGTGGTTCCTTTTGCGTACAGTTTAACCAGGATGTACGTGGAATATGGATTTAGTTACTTAACTTATTAACATAATTTTTAAATCTAACATATTAATGAACATTTTTTGAATGTGTGAAATTAAACCTCGGGAAAAATATCTTAATAAAACTTAACAACTAATTATTATTTCAATATTATTTAACCGTGGATGTATTAACATAAAACAAACTTGCAGGCTGAAGTACTACGTTAAGACATAATGTTTTATTAATCTACAAGCTTTCTAGCTCTTTAAAAAAAAACTATTTCAGGTGGAATTACAACAATAATCGAAAAAAGTGTGAAAAGTAGAAGACAATCGTATTAAAAAATCACGATATCATACAGATATTGTTGTTAAGGTGCGCGTCAACAACATTGTAGAGACCTGAATATCGTTTAAAAGTCTATTAACCTGTCATATGGAAAGTCAGAAATTTGTTAAATCTAAGAAAAACGGTAATGAATTCAATTAATACATGTACTATTTAAAACAATATAATAAGTAATAAATAAAACGATGAGTAGGTCTCAAGGAAGTAGCATAGTGCCATAGAATATATAATATCTATCACATCACAGTCCAATGAGCTTTACTGTTGCCGATAGAATTAAAAGTCTGATATGTAGTTTATTGTGACTTGTCCTGTGACTGTATTGATTTCTTTTTCTGGCCCTGTGTTTCTTATTTGTATTTGAAAGGCTTCTTTTATTCTCCTACTGATATTGTTAGCCTCTCGATCAAGATTTGTGTCACTTTCCCAATCTATGTCTTTGGTACATAGCATTCTGAGTTCCATGATAGTTATTGGTGGCTGAGAGTCGAGAGTGGCTCATAATGCCGGTGTTTCCTAAGATTATCCTTTAAGGGCATTTTTGTCTCTTCGACTTATTTCTTCCCGCATTTACCCTTAACTCTATATACGACATGTTTCAGCTCATAGATGGGTACAGTTTTATTTTTAATTTTATTAACATTTATTTCATAGTTCTGCCTTGTTTGAAAACAGTCAGAAATTTTGATGAAACTCCTGGCACCTGTGATAGAATA